TGAAAGGCTAAAGCGCACGATCTACGAATTTATTGGGCCAACCAATTTATTGGGGCCTTAGGCTTGGTGAATACAACTTAGACCAAGTGTTCACCATACGCCTAGGGGAAGACTCCTGAGAGAATGATAGACGCACACCAACTCGAAAAAAACTTATCTATACGCTTCGCGAAACTGATGACGTTTTGTTAAAAGGTACGGAGCCTGTAAGTGTTGTATGATCGCTATCGTGCGGTTACTTTCATTTGGTGCTGGAGAATATATGTAATTAGAACTGCAGAATTTACTCGCTCATCAGCAGACATCATCACTGTGATGAAATGCATGTAAACGTAAATATCTTTGTATGGTGTGCAATGGATATTTTATATTCGCGGGGTTTAAGCTGATACAGTGCCCACATAGTTCTGTAGTCATAAACAATAACCGCCTAAGTCGACTTAAGAAAGAATTGAGTTATATATGCAATCGTTTTCAGCAACTACTATTCCATGTGTATGTGAAACTTTCATCTCGTTACCTAGGCTGTTTAAAAGGTTATGGATGAAACCTATAAGGTTAACATTAGAATCCAAATCTTTAAAGTGTTTTTTCTTGAATTCAGGTTTTTCGACTCAGGCGATTATTGCTTGTGCCCACAGATATTAAAATCACCTTGTTTTGACTATTTATTTTTTATTTTTTTCAAAGAAATTTTTATTATTTTTTTATATAAATATAGTTTATTTTATAACAAAAGCCACGTATATCCAAGTTTCAGACCTTGTAAAAAAAAATTGAAGGAAACAACTAAGTTTCACACTTCTTATTCGGAATGTTTGAAACTTGCATTTATTTGAATTTTTTTATAAACTTTATTTTTACAAAAAAATTATCAAATAAACGGGCACTATATTATTTTTTTATTTTGGTATTTTATTTAATATAGTGGATACATACGTACATATATATACATATATTTTTACAGTTTTCTAATAGGAGCACTCCTTTACTGAATCTAATTATTTAATTTCAGTTTAATTTTTCATTAAATAGTTCATTTAAATCATTACAAAATTGCAAAATTATTACCCGCGAATAAACTAAAGTCACAAAATTACGTACATACATTTCATCCTTCCTACATACTCGATACATATGCATATATATGCCTGTATATACATTGTATTTTTTCGCGCTATTTATTTCAATAAATGTCATCGTGTCGAATTTGTCACTCGAAAATTTATGTTTAAATAACAAACACGAATCGAGAAGAAAAAAGCGAATGTTTTGTCGCTCTCAGCTGACATGACCAAGTGAAAACTACAGATTGCATATAATTAGTATGCAATATTTATGGTCAATCGAGTAATTATGGAGGCTTGCATTTACATAGTATAAGCGAGTACTTTAATACATCCGGGCCATTGTGCATGCATCAGTAGTGCATATATAGTACGTATGTATGTACATTAGACCTTACCACCTTATAATTAAACAAAAAAAAAAATGGTCGGCGTACACAGTCGGGTTGAAAGTACTTTTGCGATGAAATTTCGGAAAAATATATTGTTCGTTTTTACCTAACCTAGGGGTCGACATTTTTATTTTTTTTTTTTAAATAGTTCTACAATATTCAAAAAATCCCTTTGGCAAAAGTTTAATGATTTTTTGAAAACTTTGAGTTACTGGCATTATGTTGCTAGGAACTGGATCTGGTGGGTAAGGCTAGAACAAAGTACTCGAGGTCCTCGATATATCATACTTTAAGATCTGACTTTAAATAACGAAGATATGGCCAAAAACAAACAATTTTTTTTTATTCGAAATTGCCTAATGTATAGTATAACCAGACAATTCTACATACATCTGCATAAACATATACGAACATTTTTATAATCAACTATAATCGACATAAATCTGCGAGCTTGAAGCGCTGGCATAAATCAAGTGCAAGTGCACCTAAGGAAAACAAATAAAATGCAAGAGAAAAAGCGTAGTATTTATGTAGATATTTATTTAATTTTTTTTGTATGTTAATTCTGCCAAGCCTGGGCGTATATATTTAAAATGCGCTATGATTAAAATCACTTTTGAATTAATCATGTTAAAATTGTATTTAATGAGTCACAAAACAAAAAAAAAACAAATAAAATAAAATACAGACGCAAACCGAGGAGTGTGCGATTATGCTGCGCAGGATTTTGAAGTGTTTCCGCATGACTTTTATTTGTTGTTGTGTTGCTTTCGTTGTTGCCACTTGTTTTAAATAAAACATACATACGCGCGTTGTTATTTTGAATATTTATATATATATTTTTTTTTTAAATTTTATTATCGCTGCCTTGAATGAAGGATTGCGAGTTTATTACGAAAAATTGTTAATTAAATGCTGACTTATTGCCTTGCTATATTAAAAATGTGCCATGATGGTTGCCTGCTTGTATGTGTGTGTGTGTACTTGCATGAGCGTTAGTGTTATTTGATTTTTTTTTTATTTTTTATCAAATGACATTTAACATGTGAAAGTGTTGTATTGTGACATGTGCATGAGCACACTTATTAAGACTACAACATCAACTCGGGAATACAGTTAAATTATGCGGAGAATAAGCTTTAATTATATGCGCAACATTTTAAATTTTTTAAATTTGAATAACGAAAACATTTGGGTCAATCAAACGTAAACGATGCTTAACGTGGCTTAATAAGCGAGTAAGCTTTTGCCTGACGCACCCTCGTGTAATCCTAAAGATTAAAAATTCAATAGGTGAATATAAGTTTACTAAGTCGAGGTGCTTGGTTGTGGCTCATAGGTGAGGGGAATACGTTCTACCAAGGTACCGAGTTATTGAAAAAAAGTTCGAGTAGGAAAGTGATCATATAACTGGGCTGAGGAAAAACCGTGGCATGCAGTAGATTTATTTTAAACATTGTCAGCTTTGTTTCGTGAAAAAGAAGATAATTGATAAAGAATTTAACTGAAATATATCGACGAATATAAGTTAGAAAGAGACGTCTGATGGTTTCTAACTTTTTCAAAAAGTGCTACACCTGCTAGATACTTTTTCTCAGCGCTATCACTGGGTGCGTATTAGGGGCTTTTAATTGCTCCAGAATAGTTATCCGGAGCGAAAATATCAGCAATCAACTTACGAAGACTAGACGCAGGGAATTTAGAGAAAAGCGAAGCTTATCCCCATTAATTTCGATGAAGACCCCAGATCATGATCTTAACTCATATTGGGGGCTGAAATATTGTGTCGTCATTGGCAGGATAAGAGCGAGATTAAAATTGCGAGATACAATGGAGGGGAAGAACTACAACAAACCCAAGCTCATAAAAAATTATAAAATAGCTTTTATATATATATTATTCAATCAAAATGGTCCTTAAAAAAATAGAAAATTCTTTAATGGAGCAGCAACGAGATGCATATGTAAAATAAATAAAATAAAAATGCCGATAGACCCAGTGTTCGATTAATCGGACACCTAATATCTCGAAAACTAAAAATCGCAAATTTTTTTTATCACAAATTCAAATTTAGTTACCCAATTTTACCTAAAATATGAAAATTTCATTTCATTTCATTATATTGGAAAAAAATATTCGTTCATATCGGGAATTAATTAAGCTAAAATTGTCGTTTTTAAAATAACTATTTACATTGTAATCGTTATCGGTATTGTTGACCTATCACCGTTATTATTATAGTGCATGTCGCTATGTACACTGAGGGAAATAATGCATAGTAAAAATAAATACTTTATATTAAATTTTCGTTTAAAAATGTTCGTATTTACAAATAATATTTTCATACAAAAAATTTAAAAAAAAATGTGGCTGCAGCTGAGTGCGCAAAGCTGCTTATCGCAATTTGTTGATATCCAGAGAGGGGTAGTGTTCGAATTCAATTGGAAGCATCACGCAAATGATATATATATATATATATATATATTTTGGTTTTATATTGATTGTTCACTTCACGGATGCTTTTTCAGAACGAAAGTGGTCATTTTAATATGCGAGTAATCGAATTGAATATTTACCAATATACAGTACTTTCGTTGACGTTTATAGTAAGATCAATTACGTTTCTGATTGATTTTAATTTTTTTCCCCCTCTGTGCATATGCGTTATATCTCGCGACTTTGCCGATGCAGTTGGTCATCACCATGGATATATTTAAAATTTCTTTGATAATTTGATTTGATTGGATTTAGTTTGTAGTCCTTACCATTCGCATGCCTCCTCACTGAAGTGCCTACGAACGAGCTATACTTTGTTAACGCGAGAACTACCAACACAGCTTAAATTTAATATTAAAGCGTAAAGTGAAATATTTCTATAGCTGTTGTCCCGTTTATCAATTGTGGTTAAACAGAAATAATTTTGTTGCAACAACTTTCCAATTCTTTGACGCATTAATCCTTGTTCAACGCCAGCCACTCCCTTTCTATTTATTTTCTCATTATAATTACTTCTTGTTGCAGTACACATCGACTATAATTCATAATCGAGTGGTAAGGCAGATGCTTGATAATCAGCATTAATGACTGCATAGCAAAAAGAATTGAAGTAAAAAGCGAACAGCTGGAGAAGAAGACATAGCCAGCTGCGTGGCAAAGTATACTTTCGAAGTGTCACCTTCAACATTAAATTAACTGCCTAACCAAGCAGGCCAGGCGATGAATTGACTATCTGGAACTCCCAATTGGCACACACACACACATTCGTTACCCACACACACACACTCAGCTCGCATTTCATACTACAAGCGCATAAATAACTAACTTATGTTTATCACAAAGCTCTGATAAGTCGCATATATATCAATAGGACTACCATATAAGTACGCCTTGCTGCCTCTTAGCTTTACTGCCTAGGTCACCCCAGCATAGATATCTACTTATGTCACGTAATTTATGCTACTTATACGCTAACTACTTTATATGTATGTATGTATGTATGGATGTTGGTTACTCTCTCGTATCATCTTTTCATTTCACTTACCTAAATGCTGATCAACACGTTTCTTCGGCTTCTGCACCGAGGCATATGGATCGCTGCAGTAATCCTGTCTGGATGGATTTTGGCTATTGCGTAAATTATGATATTCATCGCCATGTTGACTTGGCGTCGCCGTCAAGTGTGGATAGGGTGCGTAGTCGTCGACAGCGCCATAGCCGCCATGCGTCAATGGGTCATAGCCGTAGGTGGGCTGATGTTCGACGTAGTTGTTGTGTGTGGCCGGCACGACCATACTACTCTGTTGAGCGCCTGTGGCGGCGGGCATTTTCACTTGCCACAGCGAGTCTTGTGAATTGACGCTGCCGCCATTGTTCGAATTGGAGTAATTGTTCTCGATGTAGCCCATGTTAACCCCTGTAAAACGTGAAAGAGATGGAGGAGTGGTAGAGAAAAATAATGAGTAATGTAAAAGGAAATAAGTCATTTATTTTTGTACGAGTACAATAGTTAAGAAGCGGAAGCTGAAATTCAAATTAAAAGCATATAATAGTATCATTACTGCGAATATAATTACTTAGTGCTTGCTTTCGGTTTTTGCTGACACACATAATATATGTATATGTATGTATATGTATACCAAGCAGGCAATATTTTGAGGAAATTAATAAATTAATACATTGTCATTAAATTTAACGCTCTGTTAGTGCTGTAGTTGTAGCAGTGATGCTTTATCTCATTGTTGTTCTTACAGTTGTTGCTTTTATTACTTTAATGAGATCCACTTTCTCTTCTCGTGTACTCCATGGTTCATTGGCAATATTTTGTCGCGCGCCACTTTTTACCACTATTTTCTGCTGCTACCCCACCCCCACCAACGTCACCACCGCCACCGCCACCGTCACCCCAGCCCGCTCCTCCTGCTTGGCTAGCTCTTCTATCAAATTGCTTCTTTATTTATGATCTCATTTTGTATCAATAAAAAAGTTGACTTGCCCGCTGTGCTGCAGCGAAAAATTTGTGCGCATCATAAATAATGTAAGAAAATTTATTGGAATCGCTGTAGTTTATCTTCAAAACCAGGAAATAAATGAAATGAATAAGCTCGCTTCGTTGGTCTGGTGATGTCGAAAGCGCAAAGGGAATGAGTTGGATTGAATGAAGAGTCGGGTCGAAAAAAAGACAAGCTATTTAAGACATTGCGGGGTATTGTGCTGTTCGGAAATGAGTTTGTTCATTGATACAAAAGACGCGATTGAGTTGTGAGGAGAGAAAAAAATTGTTTTAAAGCAGTTTATGGATCAAATTGGTTTCACTTAAGGAAATTAATATTAGTTCAACGTTTAAAAAGCACTTGTCGCTTACTGAAATTTTGACAGTTCGTTCCGGAACGTTTCGCCCATGTGTGAGAGTTTTCGGTGGTTTAAAAAAAAAGCGCAATAACTAACATTTCCGATGACAACTAACTTTAGATAACAAGGAAAATGTTTATTGGCAAATTGAAATGATGGCTTATCAGAAGTATAGGGTGCTCTTGCTAACACAGAATACTCTCTTATAGATTATTGCTTGTGGCGCATAGATATTAAAGTTGCCACATGCCGCTGCAAAAATAATTTCCACTCTAAAATAGAAACGAAGTTATATCCACCTCCTTCCATTACGGTCCACTGTAGTAGACGAACTACTTCGAGCTACTTAAGGCTTTGCAAATGACTCATCATCCTAATCAGAGGCATTCCTGAAGACGCCATCTCAAACATCCTAAGGTTACGCGGAAGAAGGTAGTGCACCCAAAAGTAAATTTCACATAAAACTTCTAAGCTATTTTTAATGAATAGCATCAAATATCTTTCAAAAACGATCCTGGTGTCAGGCCCGGGGATCTGTGTTATACAAGCTATCCTATATTTAACTTGGGGTTCATGCGCCTGAAGTACATCTGAGAAAGTATGCTGAAAGTGGAGCGACCCTCCTCGCCTTAAGAAGACATGACGCCACCTCAAAGGAAAAACTCTCGCTATGAAATTAAGACGAGGCTACAATTTTTTACATATTTAATTTTTTTTTAAATATATTTCAAAGTTTAATAATTTGATACATATCAATAACCCAATGAGTTTCATAAACACTAAAATCCGATAACTCTACAAAATTCGATAACTCAACAAATTTCGATAATTTTTGATAAAATCCAATAACTGTGTTTCGAGAGCTCCATAAATTTCGATAACAAAATGTATGTATCTCGATATGAATCGATAGCTCCATATATTTTGGGTCCCTCTATAAATTTCGATAACTCTAAGCAGTGATAACTCAATAAACTTGATAACTTGATGCATTTTGAAAATTCCAAAAACTGCGACTCAATAATTTAAAAAAAAAATTCAGTAAATCAAGAAATATCGACATTATTATTAACTTAAAAAATTTTGATAGTCCCATAAACTTTTAGAGCCCAATAACCATCAGCAAATTTCGACAACTTAGTTTTGTGGTTATCAATTTCGACAACTCAATAAACATTGATCAATTTGAATAAATCGATACGTTGCGATAACTCAATAAACATGAATAACTCGATAATTTTGATAACTATAAACTTCGATAACTATAAACTTTGATGGTTCGATAAATTTCGGTAGGTTGACAATTTTCGATAACTAGACTGAATGACTGAATTTATTTCGATTCCTATCAAAAGCTTTTAGAAAATTTTCTTCCCATTTCAGTTACTCTAATTCTTATGTTTTTTAATGTTTTCATTTTTGATTTTATAGATGTAGATTACAACTTTGCGTTCACTTTTTAGTCTTAATCGCTTCATAATTTATTTTTTCAATTTCAAATACGACGTGAAACAAATTGCGAAAACAACTCAAATTGCACAGTTTGCAGCAACAGCTACACACAAATACGGAAAGTTTTAAACGAAGATTTTGGCTGTAATTTTCAACCAATTTTGAAACCGTAAAAGCTGATATACAAAAAAAAGATTTCTAATGTTGTTCTTGGTTTTATAATCGATTCAGTACAACCGCCAAACGAAGCGGACAAAATTTATGTTAATATATAGATATTCTCGCTTGACTAGCAGCACACGGATTACTCATAGGCCCATAGGCGATTAACTTAGTGAATACGCAGATGTACATTAGAATGCATCACTCGCCATACTAAAAAAAACAAAAAACGTTACGGGATTTCCATCGAATTTATAAAATGTATTATATTTTAAGACTTCCGCCAAAATATTTGAAATGTTAATTGAAAATTAAAAAAAAAAACGAGTTTTTATAAAAAAAAATTTTAAAAATCAGCTCAGATGATTAAAACGTAATGTAATTGTAATGGGATCAAAATTTTTCCGAAATATTGTGGCGGATAATGGATTTTATAATTCTGGCGAAAAAACCGGAAATGTGTTCGGGTGATACAACCTAATGTAAATGTAAAATCCTACATATCGTAACCTGAAATGCAAAAAGACGCGTAACAAACATCGTCGCTGGAATTCATCGAATTACAACTCCCACATCATTTAATGAAAGAAATAAAAATTTTTAGTCACGACTTTTTCCATTTCAGTTACGATGTTGTTACGTCGTTTTGCATTTCAGGTAATGATATCTACTCTACTTTTTTCAACAACCATCTGTCACCCCATCAACTTCAAGTAAGCTCATCGGAGTATCAAACACGTAAGTCAGTGTATAAAAAACCAGTGACTACCAAGCGCCTTAAAAAGAGTTTACACGTGACTTCATAAATTCGTGTTGCACGTGTAGCTTAGTGTGGCAACAACTTTATAACAGCAGCAGCTGCTCCCATAGCACCATTGCTGCGGCACTACTTTCTAGCAATTACTATTACATTACGATTACCCCTATTCGCACATAATTTTATGAGGTATAAACTACCAGCGCACTTAAAATAGAATGACTTTCTTTCTTTTACAATAACTGCCTGGGAAACTCATAAAAAAAAATTTAGTACTTGTAGAAAAACAAAAAACGACAAAAGAAAATCTTAACTTAAAGCTTGCACGCACACAATTCATGTAGACAAGTAGATCACGCAAGCCTTCGAAAGGTGATAACTCTTCAAAGCGAAAAGGATAACAACAACATGCGCTGAACGCACAACAACTTTGTACTTGGGCCACATATTTTTGGCAACGCAACAATGCCGCTTAATGGTACAATAAAAATGTCAAATGTCGCGAAAGTGAGACGAACGCGTTTATTATATGTAGAGGCAGTCTAACGTCTGCGCGACGGTTAGCCTATTGTGCGTTGACAGCCAGACATACTCAAACCCTTTTCTACACAGCTCGCGCCCACTCAGCAAGCGGCTCGCTTACTCACTCCTTTAATTTCGACTCGATTTGTCAACAGACTGTCAGCGGAACACAATGCAGTCGATGAGCCTTTTCGCAAGCATTTTTTTCTTTTATATTGGCAACCACTGTTGTTTGCGTGTTTTTTTGTTTTTAACATTCTTACTTGTTGTTGCGATTTTTGTTGTGCGTTTGGCACGCAAATAATAATAATAACGCTAGAGCGTGCTTTTAATATTTTCGAGTGATTTATTATGAAATATAAAATAATAAATTCAAAATTCTTGCGAAGGAAGAGAGGCAGCACAGCGTTGTGAGTAGGCTGAACGTACAAGGTCGTGGTTGACTTTAGCAGCACATGCGTATATGGACGTGCATGAGAAGATTTAAAAATGTACAACGTCGACAAAGTCAGAAAAGCAAAAAATACTTATGAAATGTTAAATTTGCTTTAGGGAATTTAATTAATTCTCTATAGCATTTAGTTTTATGGTAAGTTACGTTTATGTTATGTCATGTTGTGTTGTGTTGTGTTGTGTTGTGTTGTGTTGTGTTGTGTTGTGTTGTGTTGTGTTGTGTTGTGTTGTGTTGTGTTGTGTTGTGTTGTGTTGTGTTGTGTTGTGTTGTGTTGTGTTGTGTTGTGTTGTGTTGTGTTGTGTTGTGTTGTGTTGTGTTGTGTTGTGTTGTGTTGTGTTGTGTTGTGTTGTGTTGTGTTGTGTTGTGTTGTGTTGTGTTGTGTTGTGTTGTGTTGTGTTGTGTTGTGTTGTGTTGTGTTGTGTTGTGTTGTGTTGTGTTGTGTTGTGTTGTGTTGTGTTGTGTTGTGTTGTGTTGTGTTGTGTTGTGTTGCGTTTATGTTATGTTGTGTTGTGTTGTGTTGTATTGTGTTGTGTTGTGTTGTGTTGTGTTGTGTTGTGTTATGTTGTGTTGTGTTGTATTATGTAATGTCATGTCATGTGATGTTATATTAGGATATTTTATGTTTTGTTATTTCATTTCCCTGCATTTTATTCCTTTTACAAATTTCAAGAAGAATAATTCGCCATCGGCAACTCGCCTTTCACTTCCTTTACACTAA